GGCGCTCAGGTCCCTGCCAGACCGCAGCTCCACATATCTCCTTTTTTGGTATTTTCACGGAAATTCTTCTGCTAGTTGGGGTTTAGTCTACTTCTGTATCCTTCCCTTCAAGTCTCAGTTCTAAGATTATCTTCTGTGTCTGTGTCAATTGGTTTCCCTTTTCTTTGTTGAAGAAGGTCTGTGCAGTCCTTCTACCTAGTTCGCCATCTTGCAGGCTCTCTCCATGTTGGATTTCTTGACTGCTGCTTCTGTGGGCATTGACATGAATCCAAGTAAAATGAAATCTTTGACAACTTCAGTATTTTCTGCATTTATCATGCTGTTGCTTATTGGTCCAATTATGAAGATTTTTGCTTTCTTTGTGTTAGGGTATGATCCATATTGTAGACTGTGTAATCTTTGATCTTCATCAGTAAGTGCCTCAAGTGCTCTTTGCATGGGAATAGTTAAAGACAATCCAGGCCTGCTTATAACTTTACTAGGGATAACAATACCACGCAAATTATCTTGTGCCTCACCCTTAGCTTATATACTGTGCAAAATCGTAATTTAATATTTCTCAAGAGAAACTGAATATTTATAAAGATGGGGATGAATAATTGACCTAATTGTATGTGGCACAACACCAGGAAGTGTAGAAAGAAACTTACAGCAAGGTCCTTGCCATTTAAGAGTTTGCAATCTTACTATCTTTAAAGAGCCTTGCTCAATATAAAGTCCTAGATTAATATCTTTTACAGTATAGGCATTAACCAGTCATTCAAGCTAATGGGACTAAAAGTGTGGTATAATACAGTGTTTGTATGTAGAAGATGGTTATTACATATTTCTGACTTTAAGTAAAAGTGATTGACATTATTATTCTGCATTAAAAAAAAAGGTTCAGTTTGGATAACTTTCAAGGGTACTGTACAGTATTCCAGCCTTAAGATAGTCATTAGCCTGAGATGAGCTTACAAGAAGCATCATCTTCTGTATGGAATAGGCTATTTGGAATAGGGAGATAGCTCGGAGGGCAGGAATGCATAGGGAAGAAGGACATAGGGAAAAGGTAACCACAGAGAGGAGGTGGGAAGAGAGCTGTTACATTGGGGATTGCAGTCAGTGTCACGAAACAGAATGTGTATGAACTACTGAATGGGAAATGAATTTGCTCTGAAAATTTTCACCCAAATCACAATTTAAAAAAAAAATCCCAAAATTATTTTTATCTTGAGTAATTTAGGAATTGAAATAAAACACCGTGATTTTCAAATACTACTCCATTTTATGGGAGCCCTGGTGGCATAGTATGGCGTTTGACTGCTAACCAGAGGGCTGGTGGTTCATATCCAGCAGCTACTCCTCAGAAGGAAGATTGAGCAATCAGTATGTATGTGTGTGTCTCACTTACCTTGAAAGGTCAGTGTGATATTGAACACATTTGAAGTCTGATTTTTTTTTTTGCTTCAATTCCATTATCATTTTATTTCACCTTCTTATTATTTGGTGTAAGTGTACACAGCCAAGCATACAGCTTTCAACAATTTCTACATGTATAATTAAGTAACATTGGTACAGTCTTCATGTTGTATGAAGTCTGATCTTTTATTAGTGGCCATAGCCTTATCCAAATGCTGTCACTATTTGCAGTAGTGCTTTATGTACTTGGTGTTGGCATTGTTGTTGTTGTTATGTGCTGTCGAGTCGGCCCTGACTCATAGCGACCCCTCCTTGGGTTTCCGAGGCAGTATCACTACGGAAGTAGGATTGCCCAACCTTCCTTCCGAGGAGTGGCTGGTGGGTTTGAACCGCCAGCCTTCTGGTTAGCAGTCAAGTGCTTTAGCCACTATGCTACCAGAGCTCATATTTGAGGTTTATTCCTTCTTTGCTTGTGATGTTCTTACTTATTCTCAGGGGTTGATATAAGCTGATCAGTAGATGGAAATAAAGACATTTAGATCTGTCATAAGTTTGATACTGGTGGGGGAAAAGAGATAACTACATTTGATCTTTTCATTTTACAAATGAGGATAGCAAGGGCACATTTTTAATAACAAGAAAAAGAATTTTTTGGAGAACATTTAGCTGGTACTTGGCTTTTGCCAGTTATAGTAAATACTGAATTAATAGGAGATGTTTAATATTGAACTTGAATCTGAATTCATTTTCTGCTGTTGTGCTCCTGGTAGATTTGTTGGCAACAAATGCCTTAAAGACAGTTACTTTCTGTGTCATTACTTTGGTGCCTCCTTAAAGTATGTGCTTTACTTGTGATTGGCCACTGCAGTAATGTACTATAGATGTCTAAAATTTTAGTTTGCTATTGGTCTATCCTTAAAATACCACCCAGTGTAGTTGTTAGGATGAGCATCACTTTGGTGATAGTATGTTAGAGAATACCAAGGATTAGAAGGAATGAAGATAGAGCAAGGCATACGGAGTAACTTAGAAGCCATAAAGAAGTAGAGTAAACCAGTCATTGAGGCACTCAGAAGAAAGGGAGAAGAGAATGAAGAGAAGGCTACAAGGAAAATTGACTTGGGGATGCATTCTTTTGTAGTGAATGAATGATCAAATAAGAGATGGAATAGACTAAAATTACAGTTATCTACTACTTAATGAATATTTGATTTTCTCTCAGTGTGAGCTGTTTTTTTTTTCCTCAATGTGTGTTAATGTTTCTATAAGTAATTACTTGTTACATATGTGAAAATAGAATTTTATTATGTGTGCTCCATAAATCATGGATGGAGCGTGTATGTAATTGCTTAAACCACCAGTTTCTAAATTTTAGCGATTATTTGCAACACATAGTATTGAACATTTATTTGGGAATCTTCTGAGTATTATTTACTCTGCGCAAGTATGAGGAATTTTCTGGCCTTAAAAATTAATAGGGTAGAACTACTGAACGTTTTGATCAAAGATCCTGTTGCAGAATCCTGATCAAAAGGGAGAAGATGTGGAACAGCATTTTAAATTTTCTTTCTGGAGCCATAGAGGCTGAATGAACAGCCCCCCCCCCCCAATTGAGATAACTTTAAACCAGAAGTATCCCCTGAAGTCTTCTTTAAACCAAACAATAAATTTAGCTTAATTAGCAAAGGATGTCTGTCTTGAGTATTGTGCTTTTTTAAGAGCTGTCTATATGGGTTCAATTTGACAATAGCAACTTAAAAGATTAAGATAGGAAGCTTAGGGGGCATTGAGTTTGTGTTAATGCGAGAAGAACAGTGTGGAGAAGGGGGGTGAGAAGGGTTGTAAAACTTGAATGTAATGAATACCATTGAATTGTACATGTAGAAATTGTTGAATTGGTGTGTGTCTTTCTGTGTATATTTTCAACAACAAAAAAAAAATAAATTATTTAAAAAAATGATAGGGTAGAGTGTTTAAGGGTAAAGTGTATTTACTAGCCCTTTTGAAAAGATCCTCTTTCTCCATCCATACCACAGTCTATCTTTTATATTTCCTTGTACCTGTCATTCTACCAGATTTTCCAAGGATTGTAATATAGGGACAGTGGTAAAAACTATGTGACTTAATTTCTCAGCCAAGTCATTCCATTGTTTTGCGTGCAGTCAGGATATGAGATTAGTTGTTAGTATACAGGCTGCATTGTCCAGGGGAATAATTTCCTAGGTCAGGTGATTCATTGTGGTCATTGTTCCACAGAGAGGAATCTCAGTGTTTCTGCTAGAGCCTTTGTTTTGCGAAGCTTCTGCTAGAGGCTGTAGTTATGCCAGATGCAATTCATTCATCTTGATAATGGTGTGCAGTGAAGAGATGATCTTTTACTGAAGTATCAGTATAAACATCTCTGAAATACTGGTTAGAACTTTTTTCACCTCAATGAGAAAGATTTTTTTCCCCCCACTTTCTATGATTAGTTGAAAGAAGATGGATGCACACAGTTCAGCCAAAATTAATGCAAGGAAGAGGAGGAAAGAGGCAACTGGACCCAATGGGGCAACAGAGGAAGATGGAATTCCTTCAAAAGTGGCACGCTGTGCAGTTGTAAGTAAAGAAGAGATTTCTTTGTTGGACCCTTAACCTGGTGGGCGGAGAATAGAAACTGATATAACATTGATGATATCAGTATTACAAGTCTTCTTAAATAATACAAAGAATGAATAGTAAGTGTATCTTCATCGTTACTGGAAATCTTGGCTTTCTTACCAGGTTTTGACTCATAGCTAAGTTGTAAGAGCTTTATTTTGGAGTTGGAAAAAGAATGTTAGGAAGATTTTGAGATTGTATATGTATTACGCTAGATATCAAATTCAAACTAATGAAACTGGGGCTCCAGAAAGTGATCTGATCTTGATATCATATCATGGTGTTTAGTTTTCTGCATCTTACTGTCTTTTCTCCCCATATCTTTCATTCACTCTTGCTGGATATATCTTAGATGAGAACCTTTTTCCATTACTGTCAACCTTATGCTTCTTTATTTCTGACATCATCTTTGTGCTTCTTAACTACTGACAAGTCTTAGATGAAAGATTCTATTCCACATTACCATCCTGTCTCAGCTTGGTACCCTTCTCAAGGTTTCTCCTAAAAACATGTCAAAGAACACTTATGCACAATTGAAGTTATTATTGATATACAATATTATTATGAAGTCTGTGTTTCAGAATCCCTGTGCCAGAGTTGTTTATATCTGTTTTTTCTTCATATTACCCACTAGTGAGATTCTGCTAATCTGTTTCCTGTTTTGGTCTTTTGCCATAATGATATTTTAAATGTCAGCTGTGTTTTATTCCTCACAGAGTTTTTTAGTAATGACTCATTGCCAAAATAAATCTTCTGCTTTAAGGATGCTATTTTATGTCATTTTACTAACAGTGCCTAGAATTTTCAAAACACAATACAACCCCATTCTAGTTATGAGAAAACATCAGACCAACCCAAACTGAGGGACATTCTAAAATACCTGACCAGTACTTTTCAAAACTATGAAGATCATGGAAAAACTAAGAAGTTGCCATGGATTGGAGGAAACTGGGAGACGTGAGGACTAAATTCTAAACTTAATCACTTCTGAGTTATATAAAGAGCTGCATAAATGCAAGCACATACTAGAGAGGACAGATGCCGTGTGAAGATCACCAAGGAGCTGGTAAACACAGGGCAACCAGCAAGGAGAGAATGAATACAGCCAAGACAAAGATTTGGCTTTAAACCTCCAGAACTATGAGAAAATATATTTCTGTTCTTTAAAACTACCCACTTGTTGTATTTGTGTTACAGCACTACTAAGAAACTAAGACACTGATGAAATCTAAATAGGGCCTGGAGTTTAGTTAATGGCAATACCAATGTTATTTTCTTTCTTTTAAATGTACCATTATTATGCAAGTGATTAACATTAGGGGATGCTGAGTGGAGGATATAGGGGAATTCTTTGTACCATCTTTGAAACCTTTCTGTAAATCTGAAATTTATTTTTAAAAAACTCAAAAACAATAGAACTGCATTGTCATTGTGAAAGAGAGATAAGCAATTAGATCTAGGTGTAAGCAGTGGTTACTATAACAACTGCTTGTAGAGAAATGCCACAGCATCTGTCATTGCCACCCTGAAACTCACTGCCTTTGAGTTGGATCCAACTCATAACGACCCCTCCTTGGGTTTCCGAGGCAGTATCACTACAGAAGGAGATTGCCCAACCTTCCTTCCAAGGAGTGGCTGGTGGGTTTGAACGCCAGCTTTCTGGTTAGCAGTCAAATGCCTTAGGCACTATGCCACCAGAGCTCCCATTGCCATCCTAGAAAGTTAAAATATTCTTTAGAGATTGGCTACATTCTGCCTGAATTTTTATTTGCTCTTTCCTATTCTTTATATCCGTTTCTGACAACCACTCCCTTGGTTGGCTTGTTCTGTTTCCTTCTTTTCTAGCTTATGGCAGTAATTGTTGAAAAATATCCAGACAGCAAGTGCCATGAATTCATAGAATAAAAATGGCATGGGATATAATAAATGAATCATAGATTAATTTAATCATTATTTCTCAAAATAGAGATAGATAGGTACAGCTCCTAGGGAGGGTTCAGCAAGATTCTGAGGCTGAAGAGAATAAAATAGGTATTTGTTGGTAAAAGTAACAGTTTCACATTATATCAAACTCTCCTGTATTGTTTTTTAGCATTTAAGATTTGCTACAGTATTGAAACTAAAGATATAGATTGTAGGAATTTACAAAATAGAAAAATTCTGTTTACAGAATAGAAAAATTTTAATATCTAAAGGTATTCAATAAAGGGCTGATACTGTAATTATAGCTTTATAAGCTTCAATGAAGTTATTTTGCTGAAGAAAGACGTTCACGGAATTCTATTGTTTAATAAGACCAAAGGAAACAAACAAAAAACTATCTTAGTTACCTAATGCTGTGTAACAAAGTATACCACAAGTGGGTGGGTTTGAAGAACAGAAATTTATTTTCGCAACAGTTTTGGAAGGCTAGAAATCCAAATCAGGACATCAGTTCTAGGGAAAGATCCTACCTTGTTGGTAACCCCAAGAGTTCCTTGACATCCCTTGGGCTCCCTTGGCATCCCTTGACATCTCTTAGTGTTACTTGGCATCTGTCTTCCCTCTGTGTATATCTCTATCTGTTCTCTTTTCCTAATTTAGAAGTAAATGAAGTTTAGGACCCACCCTACTCTGGTATGACCTTATTACCATAAAAAAACAAACAAACAAACAAAAAAAACTCTTTTTTCTCCACAGGGTCATATTTACAGGTTAGGATTTCAACACATATTTTTTGAGGACATAGTTCAATCCATAACACCACCTAAAACAAACAAAAATCCACATCAAAAGTGCATCTATATTTATGTTTAATATTTTATAACTATATCTATGTGTGGATAATAACAAATTATGGGTAACATTGTGAAGAATGGGAATTCCAGAACACTTAATTGTGTTCATGTGGAACTTGTACACAGACAAAGGTGCAGTCACTTGAACAGAACAAGGAGATAACTGTGTGGTTTAAAATCAGGAAAGGTATGAGTCAGGGTCTTATCTTTTTACCATACTTATTCACTCTGTATGCTGAGCAAATATATCCAGGAAGTTGGACTATATGAAGGAGAATGCAGCATAAGGATTGGAGCAGGACTCATTAACAACCTGTGATATGCAGGTGACACAATCTTGCTAGCTGAAAGCAAAGAGGACTTGAACCACTTACTGATGAAGATCAAAGACTACAGCCTTCAGGATAAATTATATGTCAACATAATGAAAACAAAAATTCTCACAACTGGACCAATAAACATCATCATGATAAACAGAGAAAAGAGTGAAGCTGTCAAGAATTTAATTTTACTTGGATCCATAATTAATGCCCATGGCAGCAACAGTCAATAAAATAAACTATGTGTTGCACTGGAGTAAATCTGCTGCAGAAGAACTCTTTAAAGTGGTAAAAGGCAAAGGTGTCACTTTGATGACTAAGGTGCTCCTGACCCAAGACATGGTATTTTCAGTATGGATGAGAAAGCTGGACAAAGAATAAGGAAGACTGAAGGAAAATTGATGCATTTGAAATGGTGTTGACAGAAAATACTGAAGGGACCATGAACTTCCAGAAGAATGAACTAATTTGTCCTGGAAGCTAAGAATCATCAGCTTTGGATCCTGTTTCTCTTTCTTCTCATTCTTTTTAGGACTTATCACTTTCAAATACTCTGTATAAATGTGGCATATGATTTATATTGCTGTCGTATACCAATTTATATTTCATTTACCAACCGCCTCTCAATTAATTTATTTATTACTACTATTTCTTTATCTTTCTGTAAGTCCAAATATGTAAGTTTTATATCCCTTGGCCATTGATCAAACTGCGAGTTCCACTAGGCTAGTTCTGGAGGGTTCTAACCCAAAGAAAAAAGCATTTTTGCTCTGAGACATTTAATAGTTGTTCCAAATCAATATTCTATCTTAAGCCATAAAAGCAGCTGGGCTCTACAAATAGGGGGCATATACCTCCAGGCCTGATATTGATGATATTGGTAAGGGCAGTTGCATTAATTTCCTGTGGCTACTGTAACACATTACCACAAATTTAGTGGCTTAAAACAGCAATGATTTATTATCTTCCAGATCTGGAGGTCAGAAGTCCAAAATGTGTCTCACAGGGCTAAAATTAAGGTATCAACAGGGCTGCATTCCTTCTGGAGGCTCTAGGAGGACAATCTGTTTGTTTTATTGCCTTTCCTAGCTTCTAGAAGTTGCCCACATTCCTTGCCTGGTGGCTTCCAGCCAACAGTTGCATCACTCTGACCTCTGCCTCTGTTTTATCACATCTCCATTTCTGGCTCTAATGCTCTTGCCTCTCTCTTTCACTTTTAAGGAGATCTGGTGACACAGTGCCTAAGGCATTTGACTACTAACCAGAATGTTGGCGGTTCAAACCCATCATTTGCTCTGTGGAAGGAAGATTAGATCTTCCAGTAAAGGAACATTTACTGCCTTGGCAACCCAATGGGGGTTGCTTTGAGTAGGAATAAACTTGATGGCAGTGGAGTTTGCATGTGTATGTGTGTGCGATTAGATCAGGCCCACCTGATAATCCAGGATGATCTCTTCAGCTCAAGGTCCTTAACCTCGTCACATCTGCAAAGTTCGCTTTGCCATGTAAGGTCACATATTCTCAGGTTCTGGAGATTAGAACTTGGACATCTTTGGGGGGGCCATTATTTCACATACCACAGCAAGTAAACTCAGGTTGATTGAGTGAGAAGTTTGAAAAGTGTCTCAACAGTCAACAGAACAGAGTGTTGTTCTTTTATGACTGTTTCCTAGAGAACTGACATCAAAGAAATGGTGGTGAGCACCAATTCAACAATCTCATTTGGAGTAGGGCCAGGTTATTACTAAGTAGGTGATGTTATGTACTGTTGAGTCAGACCTGACTCATAGTGACCCTTCCTTGGGTTTCTGAGATGGTATTACTACGGAAGTAGATCGCCTAACCTTTCTTCCAAGGAATG